ACTGCGAAGCTCAAACGCATAATATTGTCTTCTGTAACTGATTATTGAAAACTTCCTCACAATCACTTACCCAGTTCCATTCAGTTACCTCGAGACAAGCCCGCCCAGGCGAACAAGAAGGTCGTGAGTACAATTTTGTCACGAAAGAAGAAATGCTCCAAAGAATCCGAGAAGGCAAAATGGTCGAATGGGGCGAGTTGGATGGCCAGCTTTACGGTATCGATCTCGTTTTTTGAAATTCTGTAGATTCGGTAACGGTTTAGTTGATATTTCAGGTACTTGTGCTGATTCAGTTCGATCAGTAGTACGAAGTGGACGAATGTGTGTGCTGGACTGTGCTCCACAAGCACTCTCACATCTTTATAACTCTGAATTTATGCCATTTGTGGTGCATATCATCCCACCACAACTTGAAGAGTTCCTGCAGTTGGAAAATTTGCGGCATCACCGGCGACCTGTCGATCAGCTCAGTAAGGTGAGCGGTTTACGGACGATTTGACCCGCTCAACCCCTTTAGTCGTTTCAATTTTCTGTTTATCTGTGGACTGTCTCGGTGAATGACGTTCTGTAAATCCTGTGACCTCACACATTCCAGCCTGTCACGCATGACAAGTAGCCCATCCACCCCGAAGTCTCCACCCTTTGTAAAAGCCCATCCCCCACCTTGTCGTGGTTTAAGATAAAGTTTCGCGATTAGCTCGAACTTTAGCGGCACACCATCTTTATGTATCGTACAGAAATCTTTCAAAGAGCCCAAAAATTGTGAATTTTCAACTACAGTCGGCTCAGAGACGAACTGCCCACGGTGAATTCACCCTTAAAGGCAGTTGGCACGATAAATCCCTAAAGACGAGTAAGATTAATACACCTGGCAGGACGGAATTCCGCGCCCCCGAGAAAGCGCTCGCCGCTGCGCAGCGCCCCAAGGAAAGTACCTTTAGGAGGTGGCTCTATCGAGCTTTATCAATACACGACCGAACCGCCCACCGCGCTCGCTCCGCCACGAATGGACGAGCTGCTTCCTGACGTCGCTTATTGCTTCATTCTGCGAAAAACATGAGCGAAGGGCTTGGTATGAATCAGCCGCGCACGGTGCTGCACGGATATGGAGTACACAAGCATGACACCGTATCTTCCGCTAGCGTTATGCAAGATGCCTAAGGGAAACTCGTCCGAAATCGCCTTCTAAGTCGTGAAGAACGAAGCCTTTCTTCGCAAGATTTTGACCGTTTCACTCCGTTCTTTCGCCATGTCCCCGCTATATTAGCCGCTGCTAGTCATTTAGGCACAGTAGCTACCACAATTATCGTAGCCGAGTTGCCGCTACACAGCGAGTTGTTTTTCGGTAACATGACGAATTGTATCTTTTTATTTGCACGCCAGCATGATCTTGTCCCGCACATCTCAGAAGACAACCTCTACCTCGCACGTGAGTGGGTTCTGTAACTGGCCGGAACTTGATTTAGAACGTGTCACTATGAAAATCGAAAGGAATTCCGTCACAAACTGCTCCCTGATCGCTCTTGTAAGATGAATTATTTCGTGTTGTAGACAAAACGACAAGAGAATGGCGCGGAGACTGCCATCATTGTGCCTTTGCCATTGACTATGCCTCATACTTCTACTACGACAAGTAGGCAATGCCAGTCGGTGCCACGCCCCACAGCAGTTTGATTATCTCCACCCACCCGATTGGTTCGAATGTCATTTACGACAGCTTGTTGTTGTTGGCAGGAGTTGTTTTTAATTGTGATTTGAACCGTGTGTTGAAGCCTAACCATAAGGTTGCCTCTTTCAAAAACTAGTGCTTGTTAAGGTGTGCGCTGAAAGCGATCAAATCGCTAACGGACCATATGCGGACCATATCCATCTCACCTTAATGAACCGAAATTTGGATGTTACCTTCAAGAGGTGGGTGGTACCAAGAACTTTCTTTCACATCTCTCAAGGCGTATTAGGTTTACTTCCACTCTTTTTTTATTTTATCTGATTTTTTCTTGCTGCACCATGAATTGACCAACTGTTTACCTGGTTTTCAGGATTAACAGACGCCCTCGAACTCTTGAGAAACGATACACAGTGGGTTCCGGAGAGTTGGATGTCGTAATGTGTACATAAGAAAAGCCTTAGTCATAATAGTTCAACATAGCCGTCTTGCAGGTGTCGCCAAAATAATCTCAACGTTCTGGATACGATATTAGCTGAATTAATACGCCCATTCACACACACTCTCGTCCCTTCCATTAAACAGCGCCTCTCACACGCCATTCACTGCCAGTGGAGGCAGCACAGCCTTCCCCCCCTTCTCCAATCCCCCACGTCAGAATTGTAGGCGAACTTTTGGATTGTGAGTAGGGTCCGACGGGTTGTCGTCTCCCCCTCCGTGAGTGAGAGTAATCGGCTGTTATATAGTTAAGTGTCAAAAATTCAGCACAACGTGATGTTGTGCCCCTGCTTTCATCCGATTACATGGGTCCAAAATTTGCCTGGGAACCTATACTCGAAATCCCTGAGATCGGGTAGGCGGGGCTGCACACTTAATTTTAAAGTGGCGGCGGCCCAGGTTTTCGTGAGATATTTTCATTTTGGAACAGTCGTAATCATGTCTACATTTAGCACTCAACAAAGTGGCAGTTGTTTGAAATTGAAATATTCCACGAGTAACCCGTTCTATGCCATGCTCAAAAGCCACGCCTACTCCGTCTCAGGGATAAGGAATGTAACTACAGCCATGTTATCAGGCTACACTATCGTGATACGTGAAATGGCGGTGTCAGTACGCCCCCCCCCTCCCCCGAGTATTCGTTATGTGGCACGACCCCCTTTCCTATCCTACCTATAATCTTCCTAGGTTCCTCCAACTCCCGTGAACTGATGACTTCTCTTCTCTCTCTCAGTTGCTGCCAAGCATTTGGAAGCAACTAGCACGGATAGGAGGGCAGAACCAAGAGTCGCGTCCACAGTGGGCGTTCAGGAGGTCCACGTTGCGACGCCGCCTGGAATTCAGGTCACGCGGCATTTTCTCGCTGGGCAATAGTTTTCATGCAGACTGCAGACTTTCATGCAGACAATCGCAGTCGGTTGTGGCTATTTTTGATTATCCACCGTCTCTTGCCGCTCTCTAGAGTCTTGTTCTTCTACCTTGTATTTTGCGGGCGCGACGTAGGGCCACTTTCGACGCGCTGCGAACTGCGATTGTTTACCTAAACACACTGTTTACTCCTGGAGAGTAACGCAGGTGCGCCCTTGCGACGCCGCCTCACCGCAATGTGGACATCCTGACCGGTACCCCTCCGACTCAGACGAATGCTGCTAGCATTGCATTGACACTTTTCCAAAATCTAAAGTGTCCAAAATAAAAAGTGAATGTACTCGAATACTAGCTGGAACCCTCTAATTCCTTTCG